CCCCCCTTACCTTCTCTTGTTGAGTTAAAACCAGTTAGGCAGTTAGCCGGCCAAAAACATAAGTCTTCCAAAGATCACACCGTTAACCGTAACGAAAGCACCCCAACTCCTGGCAACACTGTTAGGTCATTTTGGCATCCTGAATTTTTGTCTTGTCTTCTTTTTACATGTAGACATTTTCACGCCCCCATCAACACAATTTAGATCATTCAGGAGGTGCGCCTCAACCCAGCCTGTCAGGGCCACCCCGGGCTGAGAGGGATACAACGTCCCAGCAGAAACACGGATATACTCAATAAAAATTCTCTCCACTAAGACTTGGAAACCATATCCTGAATCAATAACAAAAAAACAAAAAGCGAGTACAGAAAAATAAGGAGATCATACAGAAAGCAGAAGAACATCTCCGACAAATAAAGCACCCACTCCTCTTGCGTTAGATCAAAATATTTTACAAGATCAAGATAAAATATCAATTAAAAAATTACTCACACATTTCACATGTGACAATATGAAAAAAAAAGCAGTTACACACTTTTAGGCTGCCCGTACAAAAATTCCACACAAGTCATCCATCTTATCAAATACATTCTAGAACATTCCAGAACTTAACACAAACATGTGATTTCTAAAATATTTTTTTAAAAGCTCAATGATCACCTATCAGTTACCAAAAGTGTCACGACACAGTGAATTAAGGCGCTCATCATCATATTTTGGGTATACATAGAGTTAATGGTATCATCTTAAGGACTCTGTACTATATCAATGTCTTGACCTTGTCAAACATTTATGATAGCCTATGAGACATTGAGTCTTTATTATATCAATGTCTTGACCTTGTCTGCATTTATGATAGCCTACGAGACATTGAGTCTTTATTATATCAATGTCTTGACCTTGTCTGCATTTATGATAGCCTACGAGACATTGAGTCTTTACTGTATCAAACATTTATGATAGCCTACGAGACATTAAGTCTTTACTATATCAAACATTTATGATAGTCTACGAGACATTGAGTCTTTATTGTATCAATGTCTTGGCCAGGTTTTAAAGGAGCAAATCATTGACCAGTAATGGTTGTGTGATATAGTTAATAAAGAGAAAATCAATTTCAGTCTTATGAATAGGATATCAAGTTCCACATGACAACTAAGTATATCAAGGTAAGAAGAAAATGATGAATAGTAGAATAGTATTAAGTAAGTTCCAAGGCCTGCAGTTTCAGTATAGAATCAAAAATGAAATGTTACCAAGCTTTGATGAGACTGTTGCACCCAAACTGCGATGTCTCAGTCTAGCGTTGATGAATGTCAAGTAACTTGATCAGTTTGTACAAATCCATAAGGACGTTTGAATCTTCCAAGATATCAGTGTAAGGTGAGGCATGCTGTTAGTTATTAGATATCTTTTTCCACACAGGAGGACTGTCTACTAAACCAGAACTCTGGCGCTATCGGTAGTGTAAGTTAATATCAATATATTGTATAAGTTGAACACTTTTCCACACTGAATGGCTGTCTATTAGACTAGGCCTGTGACTATATCCGAGCAAAGGTGAAGTACAGATATGGTCTCATGTTTAACACCCTTCACCCTTCAACACAGAAAGACACATTTATTCCACCTGACCTCCAAATATAAATCTGACAACACTAAGCCAGGACATTCAACAGCTATGAAAACTCTTTCAAACCAAGTTCAATTTAGACCCCCCTCTGGGATTCAAACCCCGGTTACTCGCACCATAACCCAGAAAAGTACACACTGAGTCAATGACCCCCACTTACATCCGAGTAAAAAATCACTACAACACAACCACGTCAAACATATATACCAAAAATACCCAAAACCCACAAAATCTGTACCAGGAAAAAAAAAGCTAGCAAAATACAACCAACCAATCTCAAATACAGTGCAGGGAACAAGACTTACAAAAAACTAGCGGCTTGCAATTTTCCACAGGTATTCGTTTCAATTCATTTCATAAAGGACAGGCAGAAAAAGTAAATGATAGCCCCCTAAACGATCAGCGCATATACACTCGCTCAGCCACACTCTCCTCGTTATTCCGTCCACAAAGTCACTCCCTTTTGAAGGGGCTATTTCTTACTTCCTCCGCGTAGGCAAAAATAGTAGCCTGTACTGTAAAGTGCTAACACAGAATGAGGTACCGCTCCACTACTTATCCACAACTCACTGTATGACTCCAACATACGTCACTTTTCACGATGGCGTACGGCAGAGTCTTTCGGGTCTACTATTGCACAATCAGTTACAACTGACAGTTGGCCGCCCTCTTTGTGATCAGAAAATGCTGCACAATGCAAATCTTGGTAAGAATACTTCTTTTTTCTTTGATCTTCAAAAATCTAGCAAGAAAAGGGGTCTTTCTCAATTCATTTTGTTAATGTTGATACTCTGGTTCTGAATTTGATATTATTTTTATGATAGAAAGTAGTTTTCAATAAGTTTATAAACAAAAAAGTTATTGTCTACTGGACACAAAAAAATCTCAATTTAGAAGATTGCAAAAAATAGAAGTATTTTAACCAAGATAGCATCACGAACACTTTTCTAATCCCACAAAAGACAGAGAAGTGTCAGGTGTTAACTGATGATATAACAGGCCCTCCCCACTAACCAGTCTTTACGGAATGTACGGGCCAGGCCGGGGGGCTACGACTTCTGTACGTGCATGACTTCCCGCTTGCGAGGCCGAGATTCACCGTCGGGGGAGATCTCCTCGCCTTCTTTGAGATCCTGATGGTTGTTCACCGCCTGTTGCATGTTGTTGTTCTGCTGCTGCTGTTGCTGCTGCTGCTGTTGCAGTCGACTCGACTTTCTCGCTGGCAGAACTAGGAGAATCACCACGCAGGCGATGTGAAAAAACCAGTAGAAAGAGCTGGGGAAGCAGAGAAAAAATGCACAGCACGTTAATTTTCCCCCCAACAGAGATGTCGTTAAACAAACATGAAACAGCAAGACAGTTTTAGTTTTAGTAGAAGTTTTACGGCCCTCGCAAATGCATAACGTCATATCAGCGCCAGAAGATTAGAGGTGTTACAAGAGAGAAACAAATATAAAAAAGAAGAAGGGGCGATAAGGAAGATAGTTGTTTGACAGGAAAGAAGAAGCAAAAGCAGAAGCAGCAGACCACACCACAGCACCCGCCAACCACCCACAAACAGCAAGACAGACAATTCTGAACAATAGTTTACAACATGAACAAACTCAAGCATACCCTTCATTTATTCATTCAGCATGTGCTTCATTTATCCTTCTGCACACTGAATACACATCTCAGCATGAATGACTTAAACCCAGCGGTGTATTGTGGGGTGGGGATGGGGGGGGGGACGCTTGCAGCTTCAGCCCCACCTGGTCTTTTTCACCAAAAAGTTACTCCTTTGACTAAAATCAAGCGAAACATTTCACCACAATTTTTAAAGAGACAAGCGCGCTCATATGATCTCAGGCAGTTGCAAGCGCCGTAAAACACTTACCAAAACAAAACAAAAATAATGTATTCATCTAAAAAGCAAACCTCCACGATCAGCCAAACCAAAGTCCTGAGGTACAACAACTCCACAAGTGATCTGATTGGTCTGAGTATATACTACTAATCAAATCTTTTGATTTATTCAAATGTCAGCTGAAGTTGTTTCTGTTTTTCAATTAATAAGATGAATATTTGGAGCAATTTTCTTTTAGTCAGAACACAACGTTTTATGTTACTGTTGTATGTTGTACTGTACTGTAAAGCGCTCAGAGCCTGTGTACTTTAATCGGGGTTGAGCGCTATATAAATGTCATTTATTATTATTATTATTACTATTTACAGGGCTGCTCACCTACCAGCATAATATGTTTCAGCAATCAACAGACAGAAAATGAGTAAACTGGCTTGAAAATTCGTAATATGGCCACGGAAAATCTTCTCAGGTAGGGTGTCAAGGACATGGGTTGCGGTCCAGTACAGTATAAATGTATAGAAAACAAAGGTGTGATGATACAAAAGGACAGGAATTTTCTAACACCTTGTTGGGCCTTACTCCTGGCTTTGGCACTTCTAAAGTCATGTTCTTTTTAAGTTTTTTTTTTTTTAAAAGGTCAAAGTGGCACTGAGCAACTACAAGGACTCATTACAAAGAGGGTGTTAAAACTGTTAGAGTCAGACAGCTGCATGTGATGTAGTGACGTACACGCTTCAGGTCTGGAAGTTTTTCTATTTTTCTTCCCCTATATATATACCAGGAAGGTTGGCAGTGGGTTGGCGAAGACAAAATCTTTGTAAAAATTGGAATCAAGGGTATCTTTATTCAGTTTCTTTAAAAGACAAGGAGAGTTTTCTCTTTAGATAAACAAATATACCCACAAATGAAACCAAACTTCTCCTATAGGTAGGGCAATGCCCACTTTTGGTGTCGGTCAAGATTTCTGGAAATCCCCGAAATCTGGGTTAGCCCGCTTGTCCTTAAAAACGACCAATTACTTATGGAACTTGACGCAAAAACCTAAAACATTCCATTTACCTGTGGAACTTGATGCAAAAACCTAAAATATTCCATTTACCTGTGGAACTTGACGCAAAAACCTAAAACATTCCATTTACCTGTGGAACTTGACGCAAAAACCTAAAATATTCCATTTACCTGTGGAACTTGACGCAAAAACCTAAAATATTCCATTTACCTGTGGAACTTGATGCAGGGCTCCCAGTGCAGTATGACAAAGGAGAGGACGAGGAAAGCCAGGCTCAGCTGTGTGCCCACAAACGTGATCACCTCGTACACGGACCGCAGGAGAGACGACGTCTGGAACTTTGGGCGCACGCTGGACCTGATCTGGAAGACGTGACGGAGGAACAAAGTTGAGACAAGGCCGAGGAAAAAATAAATCAGGAATAAGCTCCTTTCAACATAATTTAGGCTCATAGAAAGACGAAATATTATCCAGCTCTTGGAAAGACGGAGGTACTTACTAAAAATTCTCCTCTCCCCACTCGGGGATTGAACTCTTATCTTCTGTGGGTGTGATGGCAAAGTGTTTAACCACTACACCACAGGTGCTGTTCTCAGTCTGGATGCTCTCAACATCCCTTCCCCCCTCCTTCACACACACACACAAAAATAAATGCGTCGTGACACATATGTGAGGCATCCTGGTGTGACCAGGTGCTCGTCAAAAAAATGAAACCAAAGAAATCTGCATTTTTTTGGCCACTGGGCAATTTTTTTCTAATTTTCTTTTTTTGGCTCAACACCTTTTATGTCCAAGTAAAAACACATTTTTATGTGGATTTTACAGAAAAACACTGATTAAAGGCACACAAAATGTAACTTTTCAGTTTCCAAGGACTCTCAGGATATATTATGGAAGTTATCAATCTTTGGCGGCCATTTTCTCGCTAATTTCAACTCTGAAACCAGGCGACCTTGACCTCCTTCAATCGCAAATATTTAGACTTCTATTCAACATGGATATTTTTTCCCCAAAAGCAAGGAAAATGAACAGGCTTTAAGATGATACAAAAAAATCCCTTATGCCCCAAAAATTGACGAGCGCCTGATTCCATCACGTTGTGACACATATATACACAATTACAACAACTTTGCATAAGTCAAAACAAGAAAACAACACCAACCCCCCCCCCCCCCCCCCCCCCCCCCAAACAGTTTAAAGTAAGGAAGTAAAAGAACGAAACAAAAGCCACTCCCTCCCTCCCTCCATCCACCAGCCTTGCTCACCTTCCAGTTTCAGTTTTAGTCCAAAGAGTTTTACGGCACTTGCAACACAATCGAGTCACATAACTGCCGAAGATTAGAGGTGTTACAAGAGAAAAACATACACATTAAAAGAAGGAGGAGAGATCAAAACGATAGATGTTTGGTAGTAAAGAAGGAGCAAACCACAGCAGAGCCCCCGCCAACCACCCATGGCTCACCTTCCTCCCAGCCTCTACAAAGATGGAAGCGGACACAAAGGTAAGGTAGTAGCCGACGAACAGGCCGTGCCACAGCGCGCTCAGGACAAAGGTCAGCATGGTGCGCTGGAAGGGCACGCGCGTGTAGCACACGTGTCGCAGCCAGTGTGTAGTCATGATGTTCCAGTTGTCCAGGTACACCTTGAGGCTGGTTGCCGACTGTGGAGGGCCAGGGAAAGAGAAGTAGGTTAACACGGTGACAGTTATTTAGTGATACCGGGCGTCCAATAAAAAAAGAGGAGCAACTTAAAGGCCTAAAGGGCAATCACTTGGTCATCTCTGTGCCATTTTCAGCAGGGCTTTTAGTTTAAGTAGGTGTTTTACGGCACTTGCAACACAATAAGGTCATATAAGTGCCGAAGATTAGAGGTGTTACAAGAGAGTAACAAACACAAAAAAGAAGGAGGGGAGATAGAGATGATAGATTTTTTTATAGGAAAGAAGGATAAAACCCCACCAGAGCACCCGCCAACCACCCACGGCGAGGAAAGAGAAGTAGGTTCACAGGATGACAGTTATTTAGTGATACCGAGTGTCTAACAAAAAAAGAGGACCCACTTAAAGGGCAATAATTTGGTCATCTCTGTGCCATTTTCAACAGGACTTGGAACAAAAAAATTCCACCAAGGGTATGTTGAGTGAGTAGATATGAAGAAAACAAATCAACATTTTTGAGAAATATTAAGCTTTATAAAGACTTTAACCAAAATTGGGTAAAATGCAAAACATTGCTTCTTAAAAGTGTTCAGCTACAGGGTGTGACTGGTTTGTTCGGGTTTCAGGACTAGGATAGGAAAACCATGACAGTCATATCAGATGGATATCTCTTGGCACTAACAGCTTGCCAATAAAGCCTTACTACAGGAAAGTATCACGGTACAAAGCAAGAGGAAGACCAAGAAAGACATGGATCCAGGGTGTGAAGGATACCGTGAGAACATACGACATCCCACCCAGCCAGGCCATCAAACTTGCCAGAGACAGGAAGCTCTTTCTCCCCTCGACGCCCTAGAGGTACAAGAGGACGGATAAAGTAAGTAAGAAGATATCTTGGCACTGAGAAAGTTTATAAGAAGTTTGAGGAGAAGGCGCTATGCTGAAGAGGAGGCTTGGTTCCAGTGGGGTGGAGCCACATCCCTAGATGTCCAGAGTGGCCCTTGTATTATAATTATAATAATAATAATAATAATAATAATAATAATAATAATAATAATAATAAAAACAATAATAATAATAACATTTATACAGCGCATTTTGCAAAAAGAGTAGCTCAATGCACTTCACATTGGAAAACCCATTTTTCAAATCTTTCTTACTACTTCCTTTCTTCTCATGCAATATACATTAATACACACACACACACACACACACACACACACACACACACACACACAGATTATTTTCATTCAGACATAGGCACAGAACAATTATACTAAAAATAACGCTAAAAGCTTATGTAGGAACAGAAAATGTTTAAGATGTCTTTTGAAGCTATCAAGTGTTCTCGTATGGTAGCAAGAAAGGTTTAAAGAACGCCTTGTGAGCCAAAGGCTTACAAAAGAATAGTCACCGTATTCCCACAACTCGAACCTCTCAACTATTTCCTTTGAGGTCTTTTGACAGTTTCCAGAAACTCCCCACCTTTGATCCTGATTGTGCATCACTAAACACTATACTGTCTGCTGAAGCTGACTGTTTCAAACAATGATTCTGTTTTTTAAATTCTCTCACTGATCTACGCAGAGCACAGGCATTTGTGTGTGTGTCTGAAGAAAGGTACCAAAAGTCGGATTTTGACCATTTTGAGTTAAGGGTTGTACCTTGCTGTACACAGTGGTTTGTGAATTTTTAAGATATCTCAAGTAGTTTTGAGATACTGCACATTTTGTGAGGTAGGGTATAAAGATCTAATTTTGAGAAAATTAGCTTTTAAGTTCAAAACACATACAAACTTGAAAAAAACCCCGATGATTCAATTGTTTTTAATGTATTTATTCATGGAAAATTATTTTCCAATTTGGCATTTAGTTGACAATATCATGATTAGAATTCAATGGTAAAACATAACGGGGAAGAGAAAACATGCTTCAAGAATACATGTTAACACCTTCTAAAAGCAGTCTCTTTAAAAAATACCCTAGTCTAATAAATTATTCAAAATAAAACATTTAAAAGTCAAATCAATGAAAACCCTTTAGCACATTGTTAAAATATGGTGGAACTAACATTTTTTAATGGAAACACATTTAGGTCAAAAATGTGATTTTTTTTGTAATTATCAGCCACTAGCTCAAAATGGCCTGTGGCGACTTTAGGTATCTTTCTTTAGGCACACACACATTTCTTAAAACCTTGTTTTAGTTTCATTTTATACAGACTGCAAAGCGGAATTCGGTTCTCATAATGTTATTTACATCAAACCCAGAAATATGGAGTTAGTTAACGCTATCTGCCAGACCTGGTCTCATCGGCCACAGCAGAAGCCACAAGACATCTCAACCTTTAAAACTCTTCCAATTGGTCCCTTCAAAGCACTAGAGGGCTATCCCGAAAAATGTTGTTTTGAGAAAATCGAAGGCCAAGTTTTTGGATCCTTATTCAGTTTCTTTAAAAGACAAGGAGAGTTTTCTCTATAACCAAACAAATATACACACCAATAAAACCAGCCTTCTGCTATAGGTAGGGCAATGCCCACTTTTGGTGTCGGTCAAGATTTCTGGAAACCTCTGAAATCTGGGTTAGCCTGCTTGTCCTTAAAAGTGACCAATTTTTCTTTTTCACTGGAGAAATATTCCCCTATGCAGACGTACTGGTCACTGTCAGACACTGACGGACTATCTATCGGTTTTTTTTTCTAATAATTGTTTTATGGCACTTGCAACACAATACGGTCATATAAGTGCCGACGATTAGAGGTGTTACAAGAGAGTGACAAACACAAAAAAGGAGGGGAGATAAGGACGATAGGTGTTTGATAGGAAAGAAGGAGTAGACCACACCAGAGCACCCGCCAACCACCCACTGGACGATCTATGACAAGATCTCCCTCAGCTCATGACGCTCAGCCCAACACTCACCTCGATCCTCCACACGTGCACGTTGCACATTCCCGTCCAGTCGTGGCGGCCATCTTTGTCCCTGCCGTTATATCCCATCCCCGAGGCATTGTAAACAATCTCGGCTGAGGAGGAAGAGAACGGCAAACATAAATCATCAGCGATCTGTCCCACTGTTCTAAACCTGAACTGCAAAATATTTGAACAGAAAGAAAACAATGTTTCATTCTTTCCTAAAATTGTACCCACTCCATTGTTCTTTTCTAGCTTTTTTCAACATTTAGAATCGGAATTTCAACAAGATATTTTTCAACAAAAAAAACCCTCAACTCTCCCTTCGTTTCTAAACCAAATCAACCTAAAGAATGGGATTTGGACAAATATCATCTCACCATAGCCAAACAACTTTTTGTTGTTGTTGTTGTTGTCATAGCAACGAGCAGCTTACCGAGCCCCCAGGTGACATAGGAACAACGACACGTACAGGTACCCCACATGTGTCAACACATGTGTCACAACACGATGGAATCAGGCTCTCATCAATTTATAGGCATGTAGAGTTATTATTGGTACCATCTTCAAGCTTGTTCATTTGTCTTGAATTGGATGAAAAAAAGATCCGTTTATCTTGAATAGAAGTCGAGATATTTGCGAATGAAGGTGGTGGGGAGTCACCTGGTTTCAGATGTAAAATTAGTGAGGAAATGGCCGCCAAAGATTAGTCATTTTCTTGGCTTGAGAGTCCGTGGAAACTGAAAATTTACATATTTTGTGCCTTTAATCAACGTTTTGATTTTCAGTAAAATCCACACAGAAATCTGTTCTTAAAAGGGCATGATAAGAATTTAGCAAAAAAACAAAAACCCGATAAAAATTCAGAAACCTGCCGAAAAATGCCTGTTTCTTCATTTTCATTATTGTGACAAGCGCCTGATTTCACCACGCTGCCTCACATATTGTTGTTGTCATAGCAACAAGCAACTTACCCAGCCCCCAGGTGACATAGTACTTGGCTCTGTGTAGGAACAAGGACACATACAGGTACCCCACACGTGTCAACATAGTGTTGTTGGCCATAAACTCAGGGTCTGTGGGGAGACACAAAAAACCGCGGAATGGTATGGGTTTTTTTTTAGTATTAGTAAGTGTTTTACGGCACTTGCAACACAATAAGGTGATATAAGTGCCTAAGATTAGAGGTGTTGCAAGAGAGTAACAAACACAAAAAAGAAGGAGGGGAGATAAGGACGATAGATGTTTGATAGGAAAGAAGAAGCAAACCACACCAGAGCACCCGCCAACCACCCACAAGCTTGGTAAAAAATGTCCATGAAACACAAGTTTGGTTAAGAATGTCTATGAAATACCAGTCTTACTAAAGGTATATTTAAAAAATATTCATGAAATTGTAGGAACTAAAGAGCACAATATACACATTGCACACTTATCAGTATACTACACTTCCTTTGTTTGCATACCGGATAAACACATCAAAACACACATTTGAGTTTGAGGAAAATTTTTTTAAGTTTCAGTAAGAATTTTACGGCACTTGCAACACAATAAGGTCATATAAGTGCCAAAGAATAGATTACGTGTTACAAGAGAGTAATATACACAAAATAAAGGAGGGGAGATAAGGACGACAGCTGTTCGATAGGAAAGAAGGAGCAAACCACACCAGAGCACCCGCCAACCACCCACTTTGAGGAAAAAGAAGCAGATTGCCTAAGTAACGGTCATAAGCAAATCTATAAAGAATATCAATAAATATTTATTCACAACACATTCAAGTTTGAGTACAGAGAATCACAACGACACAGTAATGGTCATAAACAAATAGATAAAAATATCACTAAATACTTCTTTATTAATTTATTATATAAATGAACACATTTGAGTGTTTTAGTTCTAGTTTAAGTAAGACTTATACGGCACTTGCAACACAATAAGGTCATATAAGCGCCGAAGATTAGATGTGTTACAAGAGAGTAACAAACACACAAAAAAAAGGAGGAGAGATCAGGATGATAGATGTTTGATAGGAAAGAAGGAGCAAACCACACCAGAGCACCTGCCAACCACCCACAAATACTTATTTAATAATGTATTATTTAAATGAACACACTTGAGTGTGAGTCAAGAGAAACACATTAACACAGTAATGGCCATTTAGTGCAGGTAAGAAGCAAAGTAGATAGACAGAAACAACAGAGGGAAAGAAAAGAAGTAGGACTTTCCAACGGCTCCCTCCAACCACCCGCATCAACTCATTGAAGGTCACCTTGTACAGGGAAAAAGGAATACAGATTGACAGACGGAAACAACAGAGAGAGAAAGTTTTAGTTTAAGTAGAGGTTTTATTTCGCTCGCAACAACTGCATAATGTCATATGAGCCCCAGAAGATTAGAGGTGTTACAAGAGAGTAACAAACATAAGAAAGAAGAAGGGGAGATAAAGACGATAGATGTTTGATAGGAAAGAAGAAGCAAACCACAATAGAGCACCCGTCAACCACCCACAGAGAGGAAAAAAAATGAAGTAGGCCCTGCACTGGGTAAGAACATGCCCACTGGGGATTCGAACAAGGGTTATTCGCAGATTAATCTAGTAGGACACCAATTACCAACACTTTTCATTTACGCTAAATAGTGGAACTCACCGACGTTTTTCTCATCTGGAAAGTACGGCTTAGCCAGCATAGAGACCGCCATCCAGAAAAAAACAGCTAAAACTTTCTTGATCACGGTAGCCTGACAGGAGAACATAAAACAGTTTAGTTTTAGTAGAGGTTTTAGGGCGCTCGCAACTGCATAAGGTCATATGAGCGCCAGAAGATTAGAGCAGATTAGAGCTGTTACAAGAGAGTAACAAACATAAAAAAGAACAAGGAGAGATAAGGACGACAGATGTTTGATAGGAAAGAAGAAGCAAACCACACCAGAACACCATAAAACTGTTCAATCAACCCCCCCCCCCAAAAAAAAAGGGAATGCAGTTTTTGGAAAATATTACTCTGCCTTAACAAAGACCAAAAGAGAAATTGAAAAAAAGAGGGCTTCTTTTGGGAATCTTTTAGCACTAAAAAAAGTTGTTTGCGCATCCGATCCGGACATTGGGGATTGCCTCGTTAGTGATACAACTTCCTGGGCCTTCGGCATATATTGTGGTAGGGTGGCCAGTTCCTTTCCACGCCGCCTTTTCTTCCCCAATTTGAAGTCAGGTACCCATTACTGCTGGGTGAGCAGGAGGGGGCGCAGGAGGGGGCGAAAAAAATTTGTGTACGAACCGGGGCTCGAACACGGACTTTCCGCTTCACAGACGAGCGCACTAACCGCTCCACCACCGCACTCCCTTTTTAGCACTACTTACTTTTTATTCACGAAACATTTTCAAAAGTTTGAAAATGAGCGGGTGAATAGAAAGGACAATAAAGTCCTTGATATAACTATCCAGCAATTTAGTATCCTTTCCAAAATTACGGGAAAGGTGTGAAACAAAATCAAATACACTAATAACAATCTTTTTAAAACAATAGACGACATGGGCTGTTGCTGTTAATGTTGCTGACGATCCAGCAACAGCTGGGCTCTCATTCCTCTGTCCAATGCCATGTAGTGATACGTGCAGGTTCGCTGCAGTGGCTGTATTGTGTCTGTATTGTTCCATAGAGTGTGTTGTCAACGTTAGGACTCGGAAGGGGGGGGGGGGGGGGGGGAGGGAGAAGTGTAGCTCTGACATTATATTTCAATTACCTGTAGTGGAGCAGGGTATGACAACATGGATGGTAAAAGGTGGAATTGCATAAGTTTGTTTTGTTTTTTTGTAAGAGTTTTACGGCACTTGCAACACAATAAGGTCATATAAGTGCCGAAGATTAGAGGTGTTACAAGGGAGTAACAAACACAAAAAAGAGGGAGGAGAGATAAAGACGATAGTTGTTTGATAGGAAAGAAGGAGCAAACCACACCAGAGCACCCGCCAACCACCCACTGGTATAAGTTTAACGCCCCTATCAACACTAGTAGGTCATTTCAGAGGCAGGACCTCCAAGTTTAACGTCCATCTCTGAAAGGACCGAACCAATTAGGAAATCCGTGTAAAGTGCCTTTCCCAAGGACACAACGTTGGACCGAGCTGAACCGGCAATCTCACGATTACGAGTCCATTAGCCTAACTGCTAGGCCACCCATGCCGAAAACATGAATGAAATGTTCAAACTTCTCAAAGAGTGAAACTGAAAGCTGCTAGACTGCGGATACACAACCACTGGCCTTCTATAACTATGGTTTCTCCATACGCTGAAAATCTTTTTTCTTCAAAGGGAGGGGAGGGGGGGGGGGAGCGTAAAAAAAACAACCCAACTTTTCCACCAAAAAACTCATTACATGGGTGCTGTTATTTTGCGTCAGGAAAATACAAAAGAAAGCAATTTTGAAAAACCCAACCAACAAAAATCTCAGACAGTCACAATGGGGGCTGTTCATATCTGTTCTTTAAAAAAAACAACCCACCACCACCCAGAAGTCAGAGCCCACAACACTTACCACACAAGAGCCCGTGTCATCCAAGAAATCCACAGCAATTTTGTTGTCTTCCTGAGAGGGAGAGAGGTAAAAAAAAAGAGGTAGATTGAAAATACAAGGATGCAAGGGGAAAACACGGTAAGTCACTTTTTGGCTACAAAATTTCAAAATGGTCGCTATTAAGGACAAGCGGGCTATCCTGAAAAATGCTGTTTTGAGAAAATCGAAGTTTAAGTTTTTGGATTCTTATTCAGTCTCTGTAAAAGACAAGGAGAGTTTTCTCTATAACCAAACAAATATACAAAACAATGAAACCAAACTTCTCCTATAGGTAGGGCAATGCCCACTTTTGAGGTCGGTAAAGATTTCTGGAAAGCCCCGAAATCTGGGTTAGCCCGCAAGTCCTTAAAAGCGACCAAATATGCTTGACGATCTTTATCTTTTCAAAGCACAAGTTATGATTTCAAGCCTGACATTGGGCAACTAACTAGGTTTTAGCAGTGGACATATTTATTATTTTAATGTGACAGAAAAGGTTGCAGTGATTAAGAAAAGTGGGTTTTTTTAGATATGTTCACTCTCATCCGAAAATTATTACAAATTATAAACCTGTTCCATAGAATTTCAGTTTCAATTTGTACAAATTCCAGTTTTCGAGACTGGAATTCAGTGCTTTCAAAGTGGCATATATATGTAATATGTCTAAACTGGAAAAAGTAACTTAAAACTAGGCGGGCTACAAGACTATGGTAGGCCTGGCAGTGACACTCTCCAAGCGACCTGTGAGGTGAGAGAAGAAGAACGAAGGCAGAAAACGAGATGGAGAGAGAGTGTGTGAGAGAGAGAGAGAGAGAGAGAGAGAGAGAGAGAGAGAGAGAGAGAGAGAGAGAGAGAGAT